CACTGCAGGATTTACCCACCCTTGTCCCGCTCAGCCCCAAACACCTTTCTCTGCTCTTCTCCCTCTGCTTAGCCTGCCAGGCGGCTCAGGCAACACAATGGAGGAAATGAAAAGCAAATTCCAGTCCCCGCTGGGGCAGATATGAAATCCCCTGGGCTGCTGCCTGCCTGCCCTCGCCACCCCCCCCGCCCCACCCAGTCCCCGCTCCTCAGTGAAAGCCTTACTGCCCCTCCTGCGGCTTCCCCCCTTCCCCCAGGTCCGGAGTTTGGAGCAAACCCTGCAGGGGCTGTGGGGAGAGGAGAGCCCCTTACCAGCTGATTGTCATGTGCCTCCTTCAGGGTGATGATGCTGTGGCCCTTGTGGCACCCCGCAATAGAGCAGAGCATGCAGATGTACTGCCCCTCGTCCTGGCAGTAGCACTCCAGCAGCCTGCCGTGCTCCAGGCACCTCCTCTCCTCTGCCACACTGCCTGCGCCCACCTCCACCAGGATGTGGTCCTGCTGGGAAGCCTTGGCGTTGTGTTTGTTCAGATGGGCCTGGCACAAAGACGCATCGCAGATCAGGCAGGTTTTCACCGCTGGCTGGGACCAATCCAGGCAGAAGTCACAGGGAACTAACTCCTTCTTCTCCTCTGCAGAGCCCTTGCCCTGTTGTCCTTTGGAAGTGGTGGCCAGAAATGCCTCCACGATGCTGCACAGCTGGAAATTCTTCTGTAGCTCCAGGATGGGCCCCAGCTGGAGTTTGCACATGGGGCAGGAATAAGGGGCCTTGGATTGCTGCTGCGCACTGAGCGCCTTCTGGACACACTGCTTGCAGAAGCTGTGACCGCAGCTCAGCGACACTGGGTTCCTGTACAGACACAGGCAGATGGGACAGCTCAGTTCATCCTCCAGGCTGGCACCCCCTCCAAATTCTTCCCTAGCATTTGTCATGGCTGCAGAAATGGCGTCTTAGCCAGTCTGCGGGAAATGAAACTGGAAGGACGTCCTTGGCATCGTGCCCTGGTTGGAGACGCAGCCCAGAGGCTGCAAGGCCTTCCCCTCCACCCTGTGACAGGCCAGCAGAGACAACGCTCCCCGTCCCAGGCTCCACCCACAAACAGCTCTTGTGAGTGCCATGGCAGCCACTTTTAGACATTTGCCCTCAGTTGCTGCGTGGTCTCAGGCAGCATCACTCCATGTGTGAGCCCCCAGCAGGCTGGTGGGAGCAGCGGGTGCTGGGGAGACGCTCACATGCAGGGCACAAGATGTACAATTCTCCTACAGCCCTCTGCTCTCCCTCAAAAATCCTCCATCCCATGCCAGGGGCAGCGAATTAGAGATAAACCCTGGATGAGAAGAGTATGAGCCTGGCCCAGGCAAGCCAGGAATTCCCTCTGCTTTGTCTGGTTCTTCTCCACAACAGTTACAGATGCTCCCCTAAAGGTAAAATAGGGAGAACCCAGGGAAAACTTTTACTGGGACTTGTTGAGGCTGGTCTCGTACCTGCAGCCAGCTGACAGGGCAATGGGGGCTGGTAAAGGCTCCCAGAAAGGCACTCTAGGATAGGAAAAACCCTGTACCGTGTCACGAGCCTGGCTTACCCCGCTTTGTGCCCATACCACCTGAGACCAGGCAGAGCAGCAGCCACTGCAGGTGCATTTGGGAGACCCAACTCTACCCGCGTGGTTTTCCGTATCATTTTGGTGTATAAAATGCAAAAGACAAAACACAGCCACTTTCTTCTAAGACTGAACAAGGCTTTCTTTTAGCATATCCAAAACTGTAGTTTCCCTCAAGGTCCTTCACTGTCCCTGCTGGTGGAGAGCTCCTGCCTGGACGTCTTCATGCAAATACTGTGGCTCTGACGGCAGCAGCACCACAGGCAGCAGGCAGGAATATCATCTCTTCCTCTGTGTTTGAACAATCATAAGAACGAACTAATCCAGGCCCCATATGTCGCGGACTAAAGGCACATGAGTTTTCCTCTTTATTACTCTCTTTGCTCTGAGATTTTTGCATAGGTGAGGATAAAATTAAAACTGAGGCAACAAGTAGGTAAGTGATCTATCAGAGAGCTCACAGGGGAGGACAGCAGCAGAGAGCAAGGGAAACCAGGTGTCTTACTGCCTAGTCTCTACTCGCCTCCCAGGCCAGCTTTGCTTCCGCAATGGATGGCTTAAGTTGTGGAGGACAGGCGGAGGAGGGCAGAGGTAAAAGCTGATGCATTAGAGAAAAGATCAGCATTGCTGCTGCTTAATTCTATAGCAGTTAATGTTGTGCCATCACCTTTTTTATAAACGCAATAGTAATTGAGTTTTGCAAACTAAATTACTTTAATAACATGCAGCCAATACAGCATTTGATACAGCCAAGCAAAAAAGCACAACTTAACGGTATTTCCATCGTGATTAACAGAACAAATAAGATAGGAGCTCTTGCAGTAAGCAGCAGCGTGCTCTGATATACCCCACAGAAGCCTTGTCATCACACAGATGAGCCATCACAGCAGCCCAAAATCCAATTTCTAATATGCCAGCTTAGCACAGCCTCCGTGCAGCAACAGTCCCAATACCTAGACCTGGAAATACAAAACAGCACCTTGTCCCCACATCACTACAGGAGCTTCAAAGAGCCATCAGACACGCTGAAGGTAGCGTGGACGGGATAGTTCGAAGGGATGCTTACTCTCTCTATAAGCCTGAGGCTCTCAGCAGGATCTCCATCCTTGACAGATGCATTATAAAATGACAGTGTATTTCTTCTGCAGTCTAGCTCTACCCTGACCACTTCAAGGGCTGTACGAAAGTCCTTTGCTGTGATCACTGTTTGACCTAGGAACACACGGAGGTAATCATGAGACATTTGTAGGTAGCACTCAAAGTTGGGATGAACGATTCCAAGCTCCCAGCACCTCGCATGGCTGGTGTCTACCTCCCAGAAGTGACAGCCCTCTGAGAAGCTCTGGTCGCTCTGCACGTGTGGGATGGCACTGAGTGTATTTGATACCCCAAACTGGAAAGTACTGGATGAGGATGCAAAGATTGTGTTGTCACTATAAGCAAATCCACCTCCTTGATACACTGAAGAAGTCAGATGTTCGTGAACTATACAAAGAAAAAAAAACCACAACACATTATGATTAACAGGTAATTGTGCAGATTTGCATACATCCCCATTGCTGAAAGCTGGATTTCCCAATCCAAGACATCCAAGACAATCCAAGTCATCCTATCCAAGTCATCCAATTCGAGTCCAACCCACCCAAGTCATTAAAAGCATATGTTAACCAAAACACCTTCCGCACCTCTCTTAGCTGCTTCTATGTAATTCTAAAGGGGGTTGATATCACATTTCAAGAAATGCTGCTCTTTCACAATTTTAAAGTGTCTTTTTGCTTTTTGTTTCCAACTACAGAAACTCTTAGATTTTAGTTTTCCATCATTGTCCTGCAGACCTTCATTAGGCATTTTTAAAAACTCCCCAGATTAACTTCCATGTACAAGAAATGCGTGAACAGTAGCACAGCCATTTTATAAAAGCTTATTTGCTTAGGATCATATGAAGTTATTTTCTAGACCTCTCAAAACTTCCTAGCATGACGAATCACAAGAAGTTAATTCTACACTCAGGAATTTGCAGAATGTTTTTATTCAAACCTTCTCTTGCAGGTAATGCATTTCAATGTTGTGGCATTTTCTGCTCTGAAGTTACTCCTTCAGGAAACTGAAACATTGGCAGTGACTTGGTCAACTAACCAAAATTGCTCAGATGGCATAGATAATTAGGAAAACCTGGATCTGACGTGTTCTAGCCACAATAGCTCTGGACTATGCTTACAGGGATGGTAGAGACTGAGCTCAGGAGTGGCCGTGAGCATGGTGTGCTTCCTAGTGTACCCGAGGCTGTGTGGATGGTGGCAAATTAGGTGTGCATGGCACACACTGTCGCACGTGCTCCGGACAGGGCCTTCCCACCCCAGCTGTCTCTCAGTCTTGACCCGAGGCTCACTGTCAGCACGGGCTCAAGTACCATCAAGAAAGCAATAACAAGGGAGCCCTAATTTTTTCAACTCAGTTGGACAAGCATCCCACCATGCACAGCACCGGGGCTGTAGGTTGATCTTACAAAACAATACAAAAGAGTAGAATTATTTACATAGAAAGAGTAGATTATTTACGTCGCAAGACAAACTCCACCTGCCGCTGCTGTGATGAGTTCTCAGCTTACTCCGTGCTTTGAATCAAAGTGATGCTACAGACAGAAGAGGTGTTGCTATTCTCTTCTCTTAATCCTCCCAGAAAACTCCTAGGACATGCACACCTCTTTACCCAGAGCCCATTTTAACAGGGTGTATTCAAGGCATGTCCCAAAGTGCTGAAGCCCAGGACAAGCACCCTTTTATGTACATATATGTGAAAATAATCAAATACAATGTTACTAATCAGTTGTTCTAGAGGTACTTGGTGTACTTGGTATCTTATTACAGTCCTTTCTTAAATATGTTTTGTTAGCTTCTCCGTCTTGCTTGTCACATAGTGAAATGGTCACTTACCAGGTGGTGCTTTAAATAAGGACTCCATGTCTGAGAGGAATTGCTGGAAAAGCCTTAGAGTAGTGTCTGTTGTTAATTCATCCACAATAATGGGTGGCGTTGGCAGTTTTACAACAGCTTTCTTAGGAACTGGATTGCGTTTCCTAAAACATGCAGAAAGACATCAGAAGAGCAGCAAGTCATCAGAAAACCATCACCAAGCCCATCCCTGAGCCAACAACTGCATCCCTGACTCCACACCCAGCCTCGATGGGAGATACAGAAAGCAGCTTCTGTCCTCCCCTCCCTCTGCAGCTTTACTGGGGACTCCTCTGACAGGTCTTTTCCCAGAACCCCCAATCTCTTCAACATCGTTAGGATGAAGTTCACTCCATGGACAATATCTGTCCCCAGAGGACCTTGTCTCAGCCACCTCAGCACCAGCTTTTGCCAGGACAGACCCTAGCATCATGTTTGTGGTTACAGTCCTCAAGTCCCCGCAGCAGGAGCTAACGAGGTGTCAGGGGCAGCCGCTGGGATGCTGGGACAGCAAACCAGAAGTGCTGCGTTATCACAGCCAAGAGGCTACTGCTGCACCTGAAATGCAGGGCTAGGGAAGGGCCGGGCTGGGGGAGCCTGCGTGCACACAGCAGTGGGCTGCGGTGGAGGAACAGCGCTGGGCAGGCACTAGGAGAACGACTCAGGAGAAAAGACATGAACTTTGTAGGCTTGTGACTTCACTGCATGTTTTGGCTCCTGCCACATTTGCTTCTTACAAGCAGAAGGCAGTGCAAACTGGAGGACAACTCAGGATATCCAAGCTCATCTGCCCTTTGCACGCCCACCCAGGGACGTAAATATTCAGGAATTGCCCTCAGAATGGGTCTCGAGAACAGGTGCAGAGGGTACAGAAAAATAAGCCGTGTTGTATATGACCTCTGTTAATATTCTGGGGCTTCTCCAGGTCTCTGACGAAGCCAGGCTTAGAGTGTGCAGTCAGTGTGCCCAAGGGGCAGCCAGGGTGAGCCCAGGGAGCTGTAGGCCTGCAGTGCATGCAGGCTGGGCTAACAGACCCGCACTGCTGGACTGTCACCTGAAGCAACGTGTAATGCAATAGTAGACCACCTCAGGAAGAGCTTACCTGGCTCGAATCGCTGCAAAAGCCTGTAAAAGACATTTTGAAAGTAGAATTAGCGTAGCACAGGCAAAGGCCAGCCCAAGAGCCGAGTATCTCTGGGAAGGGAGATACTGTTAGGTACCTTGGTGAAAAGAAGTAGGTCTTTCTGATCTCTCAGAGCCTCCAGCTCCTGTACATCATGGCTGGCTGCATCCTTCCCCTCTTCGTGTTTTTCTATCTGTGTCTGAATCTGAAAAAGCTGTTGCTTCTCATTGTGACTCAGAGATTTCAGGACCTCTCCTTTTTTGTTATCCAGCTGCAGACACATCTCTTCGAAGAGGCTCTCCAGCCGATTCCTACACAGGCTCTTCTTAGTCTATTAAGAAAACACTTTCAAAGCTGTTAGGGACTGAATCTTACATTTTCCACACTAACTTTCACTCAGAAAAGAGCCTGGTCTTAGTGCCTCTCCATATGACAACAAACCAAGATGTCCCACTGACAGCAGAAAGGCCAAGTGACATAAGTGGCCTTCCCCAGCATCTGGCACCTGACCAGAAAAAGACGAAAAAGTAGTGCTTCTTGCACAATGCTTGCTGAAGACTTTCTACTATGCATATATTTCCTTATTCTGTACTGGTATTTTTCTACAGATACATTGCCTTTGGTCCTATTAAGGATGGGTGAGGAAAAACAGTTTCTCTGCTTCCTGTCCCCACCAAGCTTCTCTCACTGTTTGGAAGCAGCTACGCTGCCAGACAGGACACTGCCAACAGGTACAGTTTTGTCTTCAGACTAGAAGGGAACATTTCCTTTGCCCTGTGCCAGGACATGTTTTGGCAAGTGACAATTCTGCCTAAGCAGTATGAACCAGGATTTGGAGACCTGTGTTAAATTCCCTGCTCTTTCAGAGCTTTTAGATAGGTATTTGCATGCTGGGAGCAAAAACCAGACACTTTGGGGCAATCTTTTAACCTCATTCCTACCAACTTCTTAGAACCACAGGCTAACCTAAAGGGATTTCTTGTTGTAAAGAGGAATAAAATCACTATAACATGGTCTGTATCTTTTCCATAAATATTTTAGAGTCTGAAAATTGAATAAGGTTGGGGGGGAAAAAGCCAACCACCACCCACAAATCAGGAGGCATGGACTTAACAGCAACTTTGAAGCTCGAAGGTCCTTTGGAAACTAAGAATGTACTTCGAAGAGTGGTAAGAAAGTTGTTCATCATCCTCTCTCAAAGAAGAAACCTAGAAAACAACTGAGAAACCACCCAGGAACTAAAAAAGATTCAGAATCCATGATCTGGGAAAGGGCAAAGGAAAACCTTATCTTATCAGCTACCAGCATGCAACCATCCCTGGAGTCATATGGGACCTTGGAACAAACCTTTACTTCCTCCTTTTGTTTCAGCAGGTTTGCTATTCTTTGATTCAGCGCAGCTTCGTGCGTTTTCACTGCTTTCAGAGTTTCAGGAAAAACACTCTATAAAAATAACCAGAGGGAGACATCAGGATAGGACCAACATATGTGCACGAGATCAGCAATTTTATGGAAATGGGTTAAACTAGACCTACAAAAAAATTGTTCACTGCATGCTCTCAGGACAAATCAATACATAAAGGTTTACTGGAAGATTTTATCCCTGAACAAATACCACAATTACGAGCACGGGAAAGACATTTTGAAACTGAAAACTGTTCATGTGCAATAGCCACACATAAAGCTACTTTCAGCGCTGACAGTTTCCTTTCTGTTACTCTGTCGTTAATTTTCTTTGCATAAATGCAACTCAGGCTGATCTTCCAGCTTGAACGTGCACCTAGGACTAAAAGCATAGCCACAAGCACTTGGTCCCACCTGTTTGGCTCCTCAGGATGGGAAGAAAGTGTTCATAACACCTTGTTTTATATGCCAAGGGGCAAGCCCAGAGGGAATGTGGGGCAAAACTAGGAATAAAAGCCCAACATCCCAAGATGGAGATTTAGCCCCATCCTGAGTCTGCAGATCTGAAACTCGGGAGATGTTTCATCCCTGTGCTGTGGGCAGCTCTCCGTGCCACAGACCCCCATGGTTTTCCTAGTGCAATCCATGCCCGGCTGTCCTGGCAGCCTCTTACCTGCGCTTGGCCAAAAGCCTCCTCCAAAGTGGTGATCTTGTGGTTCTTGTGGGAGCTGGCGACACAGCACAGCACGCAGATGCAGACCGAGTCCGTCTTGCAGTAGCACTCCAGCAGTTTGCCATGCTGGGGGCATCTCCTCTCAGCCAAAAGCTGAGCATCGCAGGGCTCCACCAGGACATGATCTTTCAGGGGGCTCTTCGTGCCATGCTTGCTCAGGTGGGCTTGGCACAGGGAGGCCTCACAGCCCAGGCAGGTCTTCATGGCTGGCTGGGGCTCCTGAAGGCAGAAATCACACAGGATCACCTCATCTTGCTGGCACGAATTTTCCCCCTTCTCTTTGCATTGCACTTCACGCTTTTCCTCCTCTTGATGAGTGGGAGCATCCAAAAACTTCTGCACTATGCTGCGGAGCTGGACGTTGGGCTGCAGCTCCATAGCGGGGTCTGCCTGGGCGTAGCACAGTGGGCAGCTGCAAGGGCCCTGCCAGCAATGCTGGTGGCTACGCGCCTCCTGGATGCACTCCTTGCAGAAGCTGTGACCACAACTCAGGGACACGGGGTTGCTGTAAATGCCCAGGCAGATGGGACAGGTCAGGTCCTCCTCCAACCTGGCCACAGCACCCGGCTCGGCCATGGCACCTGAGCTGCCATACAGGGCTGAGTGCCAGAGGGAGGGCAGTGGTGGAAAGAGAAACAGAAAGTGGTAGTGGTGAGGCACCTCTCACTCATCCTGCAGGCAGGGAGCTGCTGCCTCCTCCCCCTTGCAAGGGAGGGCCATCCCTCTCCTCCACCCAGCAGCCTGCATCTCATCTGCCACGCTCACAGAAGCCATTGGCCATTACAGGATGTAGCCCACGCAGGCAACTCCGGCGCCAGGAGCTTGGCCGCTGCAAGGGGATCAGGGCAAATAGTCCACCCCTGCTTAAACAGGGAGGGCAGCAGCCAGGAAATGGAGCCATTGGCTTCTGTCTACACCCTGTGTAACTTTTCTTTATCCCAGTCCTCTTGTAGATATTTCTTGAGATAACATCTGGCGATCCTCCTTCCTTAAAGCCTGTTCCTGTGTCCACTGGTCCTTTTCCCTGCTCCAGCACTGCCCAGGTTCTTACCTGCCCTCAATATTTGAGTGCAGAGAAGAAAGCAGGAAGAAAAAAGCAAGTTTTCTTTGCTGCCCTTCAGCCAGGTGGGCGTACCATGGCCCAGTCCTCCTCCAGGAGCTGTAAGAGGGCTCTGCTCAGGGCTGCTCCCTCCTTTCCTCCTTAGAGTTGTTAAGTCTTAGACTTTAGTTTCTCCTAGAAACAGGAGGGAATAAAAGGCTCCTTCATTTCAGGAGCAGGGGATAGAGGAGGATGGAGGCAACTTACTTTTACTATTTTAAAAGCTACTCCTTTCTCTGTTCTCTCCATCCCATTGTTCTGAGTTGTTGAGAAGCTTCTGAGAAGCTGTTGGCACAAAGCACACTGTCAGTAAGTGTCCTAGCAAAAAATGGTCCCCGTGAGCCTCCTGTGGCAGAGACCTTGCTGCCTGTGGTGTTTGCAAAGGCTGGTGTTATCGGACTGCTCTCGTTACTCCTGGGTTCCTGAGAACTTCTTAAACACACGTTACTTGAACCAAGCCACACTCCTGAGCCGCTGTCCAGGCAAGGACTCTGTACTTGGCTAAATGTCCAGAGGAGCAATAGTTATGTTAGTTATTTTACAAGAATTCATCATACAAATCTCTTCCTTATGGTATTGGCCTCTCAGTCCTCTCTGACATGATGCACCTGCTGGGTGTAGGTAGAATTATCCCCTCCATATCAGAGCGCAAGCTCATTTTCAGCTTGCTGCCTATTACCTGCTCCCTAATGCTTTCTTATGACCTTGACCCACCGAATAGGGATGTTTCATATGTTGGCTGCAATTTCCAAGTGATGTTTCTTATTCTCATTCCTAACCACTCTGTGTCCTTTATCATTATTTTTCTCTCCTCAGTGGGGTTTGTGGCTTCACACTTCACTACTGCTAATCCGTTTTCCATAGTTGTCTTGAACGTGACTAACACTGTATGCAGTGCTCATCTGGCTTTGCTGTTCCCCCAAAGCATATGAAACTGCTGCTTTCCATTGCCCTCCCCCACCTCCTCCAGCATGGCAGAACGTGCATTTGCAAATGCTGCCCTTAGTGCACATGGCACCGGCTGACTGCCATGCTGCTGCATGCATCCCAACCCCAAAACCTGGTGCTGCATAGGAAAAATCCTCTGTTTGATCTGCTTGGAGCCTATGAGGGCTGCAGAAGGGTTTGCTCCCTGCGGGATCCTGTGGAGATTTTGTGGATCACTCTGGGTTACTTACTGTGCCCTGCTTGCAGGCACAGGCCGAGACAAGCTGCTGCTCCAGCTGCAGCCTTGCTGCTGCACGTGCTGCCTGCAAATCGCCTAGCCTAAAAATCGTCTTTCTTTACCCTTCATTAATTAAAGTTCTTAATCCTTTCATTGAAGGAAAATTAATTTCCTTAATTTCCTTCAGGAATTTGGATAGCCAGTAGATGCTGGAAGCTGCAGGTAACAGCCGCTGTAAATAATCTGCTGGTATCTCCTGGGCTGCTTGCGGGCAACCTGCATGGCAAAAGGGTGCACAGCTGCAACCAAACAGGCTTTTTAACTCTTCCCTTTCGCCTCACAGTTACACTGATGTGGGGGTCCCCCCCACCGGCAGCACTGAAGGGAGGGTAAATTCAGTAGCAGCGACAGAGCTTATACCAGAAGCACCGTGGAGAGAGCAATAGCTAGTTGCCAGATGCATTTATTTTTCTGTATAATTTTTAAATATGGCAGTATTTTAGTGCTGGTTGGCTTTGACTGATTGCAGAAACCCAGCAGAGCAAACCTAGACTTCTGTTTCCTGGAAGTACGACTTGAAGGTGAGCTGAACCCCAGGAGTGAGAATGCTCGGAGTAGTGTCCGTCCCTCTGCTGCCTGAGTGCACCGGGGAGAGCCCCACATCCCAGGGGCATCGCACGAGTTGTCTTTTCTCCTTGGACTACTGAGTTGCTGCCTGGAGCTGACTTTCAGTAGCTCACAGTGATGAATGGAGATGGTGGTGGTGACGAAAGCCAGGGCTTGAACCCAAGAGTTTGCCCATCTAGCAGTGGTGAGCCAAATCCTTTCCCTGCCTCTCTCCAGGCAGACACCGCTATTTTGCAGACCCACTGCAATTAAGACTCCGAGTGATCAGAAACCAGCGCGAGCAGATACAGATGAGAGACAGCATGTGCCAGGCTCCAGGGCAATCTAACCCCTCTCTGTGCCCTTCTCTAGCAGGTTCTGCATGGGCAGTCAGCCTTCGATGGTTTGGGGGCTACTGAAAGCCCGGGGCATCGTGCTTGTGTGCACTACTGCAGTGTGGACAGTTTTCCTCTAAAATCATTGCTATTATTAAGGCAGTGAGGAGGTGCCTTCTCTCTGCTCCACAAGCTGTTGACCGGCAGGCAGGCAGAGGACAGCTCCTGGCAAACCTGAGCTGCCCTGCTCTCTCCAGCCGTCTGCTATTCCTTCAGTGCTCAACCTCTGCCCGGGCAGCTGCTTGCTCATGGTGATCAAAACACGATTGCAGGAGCAAGGAGGGGTCCTTGTGGATGTCAAGCTGAAAGGGAAGCAGAGACGCTTAGAAAAGTAGAGAGGCGGCAGGCCTGGCCCTGCTCCGCGGAGCCAGCTGCCTCCCGAGAGCCCCGTACCAGCACCTCACCCATTGCAGCTGCTGCCAGAGCAGATTTGCTTTTGTTGCCCTCGTCATCAAAGGGTCTGTTCAGCCAACGCGGAGTGTGGCCCGCTGTGCACCGCAGGCAGCAAGAGCCTGCAGACATAAGGAGCTGGAAATGCTCCCTCAGAGTCAGCAGGGTGGCGGTGTTTTTGGGGAGTGGGGTTGGTGCTAGAAAAGCCAGCGGGGAGATGATGGTGCCTTCTTACCTGCAGGAGGTTGCTGGGAAACACTAAGGGTCCGAGTCTGAGTTTGAAAAGGTATTTGGAGGCAGAGACGGTGTATGAAAAATTAAAACATATCCAGCCAAGGACTGAGGGGGAGAGAAAGAGATTGCGGGACCCAAAACCAGCAGCACCTGGAGAAAGCTCTCCACCAGCATTTAAAGGTGGAGAGCACAGCAAGCACAGGAGGTAGGAGCTGCAGGTGCTTTAGGGAGAGAGATGCAAAGCTTGGGAGGGAGCAGGAAGGAAAGCAGGAGGAGTCCCTTGTGGGCATGTGGGCAGCTGCTGTGGGCAGGGAGGGCAGCGCAGGGGGGACCGGTGGGCAGAGAGGTCCCCGAGCTGGCAGGGAGCAAAGAAACCAAACCTGTCCCTGTTCCTCCCTGCAAAGGCACCTGGACAGATCTGGACAACAAACTGGGACTGATAAATGCTGAGAGTGGGCAAATGCAGCCATTACTCTAAGTATGGCCTCCAGAGCCCCCTGGACAGACCTTGCATGGCCCAGAAGCTGAGGTCCATGTAAGGGAGCAGGGAGCTCCTGCACCTAGCAGAGCCCAGGGCAGGATTTGATGTCAGATGCCACTGACCAGGGCACGGGTGGGAGCTGAAACTCCAAAGGGAAGCCCAGGACAGCATGCTAGGCAGTGAAATAAATCCCAAGCAACAGGCATTTCACACCAGTTGGGAGCACGAGCGTGGTGTGGCATGACCAGGCATTGCCCTGCTGTGCCCCGGCCTCCCCTGCCCAGCCACGGGCCTTTCTGTGAGCCCTTGCCCATGGGGCAGGGGGGGTCCCACCAAGCTGGTGGAGCCTGGGGCAACTGTGGTCTCAGCCAGCCCAGCTCAGACAGGCAGATGCGGGCACTGCCATACTGCCCTCACTGCCCACACTCCCCCTGCAGCCCCCGCTGTGCCTGCTGCCTGCATTGCCTGCGCTGCCCGCGCTACCTGCTGCCCACACTGCCTGCCAGGTGCCAGCCAGCCAAGGTCAGCGACAAAAGCTGTCCCTATTCACAAAAGCCTGTTATTGACTTATTTTCCCCTCCCACAATGCACGGTGTGCCTAGTGCAGGAGATAACGCTGCCTGCCTTCCCTCCAGCAGCCGGAGAGCAGCCATGTAAGCTACTACAAAAGCAGTGCCCGTCTGTGTGAAAAGAAGCCATTTTATCACAAAGTTATACCAAAATGAAAACTGTCACATTCTTTTTTTTTTTTTCCAAATGGGTGGAACCAATTGCTGGGACTAACTGAGCTGCTGAACTGATGTTGCGATTCACCAACAGCTCCCTTCAGTCTCTAGGTCTGCTTGCAGGATAATACTCGATAAATAGTATCAGTCCTTTATTTTCAGAAAGCTGCCTGGGAATGCAGCGCCGGGCAGTGCAGGTCAGGCTGGGAGGACAAGCCTCAGCTGCGGGTCTGTCCCTCCCTGCAGACCCTTCCTTCATGTGCCCCCGCTCCATCCTGGAGCCCTGCCAGCCAGAGACCCCGTTCCCGTACCTCTGATCGCGCTTGCACCCACCCCGGGCACCCCGACACCGGCTGCCCCAGCTGTGTCCCCACATTTCCTCCTTGCAATTTCATGTTTTAGTCTGTCCTGGCACTGGCAGCATCACTGTGCCCTGATGCATCTTAGAAAAACATTCCTGTTTGGTGGCCCTGAAGCCCAA